ACTCTGATACCAAATGTCACGACCCAGGTCTGATGAGCTAACTGGCCAATAACTCCATTTTGGTCCTCAACGACGGACCAAAATGCTTAAGCGGGAGTTAACGTAGTACACTCATCAGGCCCTTACAAGCTAATCATACACATTGCCCACTTTCGATTTGGGACTAATGGGATGTTACAATTATAGGTAAAATCGTCTTGTTTGATATATTTTAAACATTGCTTTCAGAACATTTGTTTATATGTTTAGTCATTTGAAGTTTGATGGATTACAGATAGTAAAGGAAACAGATATATATTTTGAAGTGACTTTTGTAGCATTATTCAACAGGCCATCTGACTTCGAAAAGTGATGTTTATGGCTTCGGAGTTGTGCTGCTGGAGATGCTCATCGGACGAAAGGCGATGGACCCCAGCAAGCGAAGCCGACAACACGATCTAGTCAAGTGGGCCCGTCCGCTGCTTGTCCGCAGCAGGAAGTTGCTAAAGATCATCGACCCGAGACTCGAAGGTCAGTACTCAAACAAGGATGTGGAGAGGGTGGCCAGATTGGCATATGATTGCCTGAACCAGAACCCCAAGATGAGGCCTGTCATGAGCGAGGTGGTCGACGTCCTCCAAGCCATGCTCAGGAAGGAAGAAACCATCCTGCCTCATAGCCCTGAAGCTGCTATGGCCCCTCCTGAGGTTGGCTCTGCAGTGGGGGAGCAAAGAGAAGCTGTTGGACATAGAAAAGGTGATGTGGCCCTTCCTCAGGTTGGCCAGGAAGATGTGGATGGCTCTGCAGTTGAAGAGGAGAAAGGAGAAGCTGTTGAACATGGAAAAAGTGAGGTTGGCAACGAAGATGTGGGTGGCTTTGGAGTGGAAGAGCAAAGAGAAGCTGTTGGCAAGGAAACTGTGAATGGCGCTGCAGTGGAAGAGAAAGGAGAAGCTGTCAGACAACTTAAAGACAATGATGATGGGCACCAACATCATGAAGATTACAGCGGCCCCCAGGCAGAGAACCGAAATGAACTCAATGGTTCACTGCATAAATTTTCCCAAGAGATCCAAGTTATCTATTGTTGAGGGTGCAGTGTGAAGTTGATTGTGACATTAATTGGAGCCCAACATGTTTGATTTTTTATTGGTTAATGATTGAGTGATTCATTTGTTCAATCTGAATGTGAGGATTGATTATGCTGTGGTGATATATCATAGATAGATCAAACCTTAGGGTCAATACATGCAATAGGCATAACTGAAATTTAGCATTCTTTTTGGGTGGCTTCATGTACAAATAAAATAAAATGTGAGACACAATTGACCAAGTATTTGTTCAACATAATTTAGGCAAAATTGTCTGTTCTTTTGCAACCTAAGAGATGGATGTTAAAGTCAAAATAAAGACCTCCCTACATTTAAATAAGACTGCATATATTGATCTTCTCCAAAGTCCACCTTAAGGAAAGACAACAGATGCATCACAAATTCCATTGTTTGTTGCAATGGAAATGTTAAGAAGATGTGAGTTAGTAGTTATTCACATCATAAAAAAGTAGAGATAGAGGAGAGGGAGTGAATTGATAATTTGCTCAGAGAGAGAGAGAGAGAGAGAGAGAGAGAGAGAGAGAGAGAGAGAGAGACTGTAAATAATAGAGGACACTAAATAATTTGATGGGGAAGGGGTGAACATTTCTTCAGGAATTGATTGAGGAAGGTTTCCCTACCCTTCCAAAAAAAATGAGTCTAACAGATGTTGATAGATAGGTCAAACTGTTTTCTTCATCTGTGTGGAGACTGGAAATTGGTGGCAATCAGATATGCACCACATTCTTTGTCCTCCTGCCTGATCTAAACACTTCATATAAGATTCAATTTCTGGTCGGCATGAAACTTTCCTATTAATCAAATCATGGCTATGGGTATGGCTCAGAGCAAGGAACCAGAACATGTTAGCTTATGATCCAAGAGTAATCTAGCACAATGTTTCAAACATGGAACTTGTTTCAGGATTCTACTACCACAAGAACACATGAATAAGAGATATACACCACATTTTTTGTCATACGGCCCAACCTAAACACTTCATATAAGATTCAATTTTAGGTCAAAATGACACTTTCCTTTTCATCAAATCATGGCTTGGTATTTTGGATCTTTAGCTTGACATCAGTATAGGTTAGAGCAAGGAACAAGAACAAGTTAGCTTATGATCCAAGAGTAATGTAGTCCTGGTTAACCCACTAGGATTACCATCTATACCACAAGGTATCAAACATGGATCTTGTTTTAGGACTCCACTACCACGATAAAGGGAACACTAGAAATTAAACTCGTATTAATCCATAGATTTACCTCCAAACATGAACTAAAACAACAAAAAGAAGCACATAATTTGCTAGGAAAAATAAGGCATTTTGTGCGATTCGAGATAAAAAGGAAACAGTAACAAAGGGAACAACTTGAAGCAATACAATAGGGGGGTGTAAAGGGAACCTGGTCTCACTCGAGCGGCACCTCGACGTCGCCGTCGGAGATTTCCTGCTGGAGGTCCTTGGGGTCCTTCCCGTCGACGGTGCAGCCGACGGAGACGCAGGTGCCGAGGATCTCCTTGACGGTGCCGGAGAGGTCCTTGGCCATGGACCTAGGCCGCATGACCCTGGCGATCTCGACGACGTCGTCGAGGGAGATGTTGCCGTTGTGCTTGATGTTCTTGGTCTTCTTGCGGTCGCGCTCGGGCTCCTTGAGGGCCTTGATGACGAGGGCGGCAGCGGAGGGGACGACGGTGACCTTGGCCTGCCGGTTCTGCACGGTGAGCTTGACGGTGACACGGAGGCCCTTCCACTCCTTGGCCGTCTCCTTGGCGATGTCCTCGCCGATTTTCTTCGGGGAGAGCCCTAGAGGCCCGATCTTTGGCGCGAGCGAGCTGGCAGCGCCCACCTCGCCGCCGGTCACGCGAACGTAGACGTCGACGACCTGGCTCGGATCGAACTTGGGCGGCATCTTGGCGGCGCCGGATGGCGGGCGTTTAGGATTAGGGTTTTCTCCTGACGCGGTGCATGAGCGCATGCCTATATAGTCTCTCGTTGGCGGACCGGTTCAAATGTACTATTGTGAACCCGGTTCAGCTTGGCTCAACACTACCGGTCCGCGCTGAGATGTAGAGCTAAGCTAAGCTTAGTACGACGTAGGCGTTGAAACGGATAATGTACTTAGTTCAAGCGATCTAATAAAGTAGAAGGATTCGGATCAGATCATATTTAAGATCAATATGGATGTGAATACTACACGATAGATATATCATTTACAAATGGACAAAATTAATATTACAAAAAAAAAGTCGATTTTATTTAACAGAGGAAAATAAGAAGAAAAAAAAAGGATGCCACGTATTAAAAAAAAATGAAAATTCATATTTAATTAACATTTTAAGATATATTTAACTATTCTTATGCTCAAATACATGTATAAAAGACGTACTAGTGGATGAATTCAGATATAAATATGAATACTAAGGACGATAAGAGCAGTGTATTATGACACTCGTCAACACAATGATCCAAGGGGGGCGAATCTAAGGAACGAGATATGGCGATGCTCAAGTTAGAACATATCAAATGGGGAAATTGGAATGAACTAAAAATTTCCAGTTCTAAGGACATGATTAAAATATAAGAAAGAACCTCGATGTTTAACAAATCAAAATGAGTCCCAGAAAACAAACTCCCTATGTTCAAAAGTAATGTCCTGCCAATGCACATCTGTTTCTTTCCTTCTTTTCACTTTAAATAAAAGATAATTCTACATCTGATATGGTGACTGTAACCCAAATCTGCAAGTTACTTCAAAATAAAACGCCTCATATGCCAGAAAGCATGGTAAATTCTAAGCAAAGAGACAAAATAATCACTTGGTTATTCTGACGCCGAACCATTACACAGATCAATTTAGTTGCTCATTGCGGCTGCGGTAGACAGGATCATTTTCTGGGGCTGCATTGAACGGAAATGGTTTAATCCTCTTCAAAAATGTGTAAAACTCAGATTAGATTAAAATGGATCGATACTCACTGCAGCCAACTCGTTCTCATGCTTAGGTATAAAAGCCGTGTCCACCTTTCCATTTCTGAAGTCCTGTGTTTCAATAAGCATGCAAATTAGATGAGAGAAGTTAAAAAATCAAGAGTTTCCCAGCATAATTTTCTGGGTAGAAATCAGTATTGACCAAGAATTTCTACATAGTTTATCGAAAAAAAAGAAAAGGGCTTCGGCACACAATTTGAAATTTTGGTACCTCAACATTCAGAATTAACTTATGGTACTCAATAGTGGTAGGAACTCCTGTTTCAGAAAAGATACTAATAATCAGTTGCTAAAAGCAATTTGGAAATAAGTATGCCATATGACAAACAAATGAACCGGGCTTCCATGTCTCATATAAAAGCATAAGAAAGTTTCCACACTGGTGGTTATTTTGGGAACCATGTTATCTGGAATTCTCACATTTATAATGCAGTTCTTTACCTCTTCCATTATAGATTTTCAGGAACGGTCACGAAGAAGAATAATACAGATAAGAGTTGATTATTGTCAATAAATGAAAGTAAATGCTAAACATTAATGTAGATAACAAGGGAAAAACGGTTATCATCTAAAAGGATCTCAAACTTCTTTTGTTAATAAAATATTTGAAAAGCATGGAATTTAAGTCAGATAAGCAAAGAAGTTAATAGTAGCTCCCAACAATCGTCATGTATTCATCTGTCTTAATTATAAGAACTCTTGCATCATTAAAATATGATAAAAGAGACATAAAAATGATATCCTAGATTCTCTAATTCACAGTGCATTATTGGCTTACAAACCTGTGATAATAGTGTCATTCAGCGCCCTTTTCATTCTTTCTATTGCCTTCTCCCTTGTTGGTGCCCAAACAATAAGCTAAATCATAAAGTTATGTAATCAAGTTAGCTAAACAATCCAATACTATCTTATCAGCATATCAGAAAGACTGGTTAGCTAAAACCCCATAACAGAACATTAATGTCATAAAATGCCCTAACTAATTAGTGAAGAATAAATCAACAAAGGCACCTTTCCAAGTAGGGAATCATAGCTTGGAGGAACCACATAGCCCGGGTAAATGTGACTATCCATTCTCACAAATGGACCTCCAGATGGCAAGTATGAAGTGATTCTCCCTGCAGTTTTTGCACGAGAAATTAAAAACAAGCATTTACGAATAGAACACTCAAATCTATGCCAGTCCATATGCAAATAAAGGTTCTAATGAGTGAATAGAAGATGAAATTTATAAAAGTCCACAGCTCAAGTCCATAAAAGAAAAGGCCGAATAAAGGCACAAAGAATTTTGTTAGTGGAGAAGATGAGGAAAAATATTTGCAGAAGAGTTACAATAAAGACTCTTCCCAATCTTGTGTTAAATTTACAAACCATCCAGTAAAAACAGAGAATGGAGAATACCAGGCCCAGGACGAAAACCTTTGAAGGCATCTTCTGCATTAATGCGGCACTCGATTGAATGCCCTCTAAGAACAATATCTTCCTGTGGATTACCAATGTTATAATAGGTTATGAGCTGACTCCAAATCAATTATTAAAAATGAATTGTAGATATAATGTTCACCTGTTTGTAGGTCAGCCTCTCTCCGAGAGCCACTCGAATTTGTTCCTCAATCAAGTCAGTTGAAGAAATCATTTCTGTGACAGGATGTTCTACCTGGTTTTCATCGAAAATAAAAAAGGTATAAGGAAACCGTCGAAATTCTAGAGACTAGCATGAACAATAGAGCATGAACAATAGAAACCATCAATACCTGAATCCTGGTGTTCATCTCCATGAAGTAGAAAGAACCTCTTTCATCCAATAGAAATTCAACAGTTCCAACGCCAATGTAACCTATAGATGCAGCAGCTGCTACAGCAGCATCACCCATAGCTTTCCGTAGTTCTGGGGACAAAGCAGGTGATGGAGCTTCCTCGAGAAGCTTTTGATTTCTCCTCTGTCAAATCATTTTAGTTATAAAATAATCCTCAGGAACTGTTTTTAGGTGGCTATTTATTCTTCCAATGATACAAAAACCTTTTATTTTGGGACAATTTAGAGCAATTTCAATCAAATGGCAGACAAAGTTAACAGATATTACCAATTGAGATGTCAATTTCTGTTCCAGAATTCATGCAGGCACCCATCAAATATTTAACTTGATATTTTCTTCTTCCATTAATTTTCTTTGTTAGTATTTAGTCACCAGGTTTCAGAGATCGAAGACAGCTCTAAAAGTTTGTGAGATATTATTTTGATCGATTAGCAAAAAGTTTGCAAAGCAGGTGACAACGGTTCAACTTGTTGAATTAGCCTCTCTGCTTGCAAAGGTTGCATATATTGACCCTTTCCTAACTATGTGTTAGCAAAAGCCTAATGCTGGCTGACCCTTTTTCTGTAACAAAAAGATTGCGATCTCAGGTAATAACACTAAAATTGGATTAGATGTTATTCATCTATGAGACAAATAAGAAATGGCATAAAACCATACACTGAATATGAAAGGAAAAGTCTAACTGGGTAAAAGAAGACAGCATTCAGCAATATCCTTCATCCTTTTGGTCCTTTCGCCCTAAAATAAAATTCTACATCTCACATTTTTATAATTGGAACACATACAGGGAAACTAATGAATAGATTTTACAAGATGTTCAGTATTCTGTAGAAAGTTTCGAGGGCACAAGAGGATAGCAGGAATCTCAATAACATAATAACTTGAAAGCATAATGTCCGACTTAGTGTGAAAGGAAAAACCAAAATGGTGAAATGATTAGTACAAACTGCACCTAGTAATATGGTTGCTTACCTTTCCAGATACAGTAATTGAAGTTCACAGAAGTATTACAAAATATCAAATACAACAAAATGATGTTAATTAACAGTGACAAAGATATGAAATAAAATAGTCAACATGATTGCTACTCAGTTCAATTCTTGGTATATGATTTTTGATTATATGTTCTTTCAAATTAGTTAAAGAACACAAATCTTCATAAAAAAGACAAAGACTTGATTCAGTTAGTTAACTCGAGACTCTGCAGAAGTTGAGCAACATAGAGATTAACTGTTAAAGTGAGTTGAAGAATATATATTTAAATACCTGAATGCTGCAATCACGCTCTCCAAAATGGACAACATTACCATATTTGTCTGCAAGAACCTATGAAGACACATAAAGCAATAGTAATTACAGTTGACTAAGATCTGAATGAACTTTCTATAAGACATCATGATATATATGTATGTATATATATGTATGTATGTGTATATATATATATATATATATATATATATATATATATATATATATATATATATATTTGTGTGTGTGTGTGTGTCCGTCCGTACACACACACACATATTCTCAAGCTCACTCTTATAAGACATGGAAAATCAATACAAGGAAGTTTTGAGAAAGAAAAGGTAACTGATTTCAAAACAACTAAACATGGTGATAGCCACCTAAATGTGGTATCACGATAATGTTATCCTAGAGATTGAATAATGAAAAATAATATCTAGTGAAATCAAGATAGTTAGAAATTTAGTTACAAACTTGAAGAATTAGACAAGTATTTTCTTTATTATCTGCATTATAGTGTGTAAATATTAATGAACTGTTGAAAGTATTAGTATCATTTTCTCATCTTTCATATTCACTAGCCATTATTCTATTTATCACCATATAATAACTACATAAAATTTCATTAGTTCTTACCAAATTCCAGACCTTAGTTCTTGCCATAATAGACTTCAGATTCAACTTGGTGCCCAGAAATGCATTAATCAAGAGAGTTCAAATCTAGTTATTCTCATAATTTATTACTTGCTGGAAACAGCTCTAACAAAGTTGACATGAGAACATATCAACAAATTACGAAATCAATTCTAAGATATATTAACCATGGATAAGATATCCTACATGAAACTTAAATGCTATGATGTTCCAATCTAGAAGTTAAACCTGAAACACATAGTTAGCAAGCTAAAATGT